TGGCCCAAAAAACAACCTGAAAATGGCTCCAAAAATGGCAGGAAAATGGCCCCCAAAAGGCCCAGAAACGCCCCGGAAAACGCCCTGAAAACAGTCCGAAACACACAGCCTGAAAATGGCCCCAAAATGGCGGGAAAATGGTCCCAAAAACGGCCCAAAAAAGGCCCAGAAACGCCCCGGAAAACGCCCTGAAAACAGTCCAAAAAACAACAACCTGAAAATGGCTCGAAAAATGGCGGGAAAATGGCCCAAAAAAACAGCCCAGAAACAGCCCGGAAAACGGCCTGTTCCTTTTGGCTGTTTTTGGCTGTTTTTCGGCCTGTTTTTCGGCCATTTTCTGGCGCTCCGGCGCCTGCGAAGACCAGCTGGCATGCGCACTGGAAACCAGAAAAGCAGTTGGCGACAGCACATGTGCCCACAGGGCTCTGCATGCCACCTCTGGCACATGGTGCCATAGGTTCACCATCACGGCCCTATACCATTTCAGACAAATGGCTGGCCCGTTTCTTCTTAAAAACCTCCAGTGATGGAGCATCCAGGATTTCTGGTGGCCAGCTGTTCCACTGGTTCATTTTTCCTCACTGTCAGGAAGTTTCTCCTCAATTCCAGGTTGCTTCTCTCCTTGATCAGTTTCCACCCGTTGCTTCTTGTCCTGCCCTCAGGTGCTTTGGAGAATAGCTTGACCCCCTCTTCTTTGGGGCAGCCCCTCAAATATTGGAACGCTGCTATCATGAATAATCATAAAAGCATTGAAACTCTATTTCAGAGATGTCTACGGAAGGAGACGGCTTACTTAAATATCCGATACTTGCCGATGGAAAAACCCAGAGCCAAAACTCGCCCTCCTTCGCCTCGGCTCCAGATAGGGTAAGATCCATTTTCTCTCCTCCTCCCACTTCCCCCCCCCAATAACAACGGCAAGTAGTCCTCGTCTTACGACCGCAATTGGGACCGGACCTTCCTTTGCTAAGCGAGAAGGTTGTTAAGCAAGCCGTGCCTGATTTTGCAACTTTTTCTTGTCACGGTTGTTAAGCGAATCGATCCAGTCGCAGATGGACACTAAGTGGATCTTGTTTTCCACCATTGATTTTTGCTTGTCAAAAGCTATCTGGGAAGGTCATGACCCCAGGACTGGAAAACCAACGGTAAATCCATTCTATTGAGTGCAGGGACATTGTGACGGTCGTAACTGCAAGGACCAGTTTTAAGTCACCTTTTTTCAGCGCCGTCATAACTTTGAACGGTCGCTAAACAATGGTCGTAAGTCGAGGACTATCTGTAATTGAAAAAAATGGGTGAAGGAAATAACAGGTAGTCCTTGACTTTTGACCACAATTGAGGCCACTATTCCTGTTGCTAAGAGAAACATTTGTTAAGTGAGTCTTGCCCCATTTTACACGGATGTTGTTAAGTGAATCCAGCTTCCCCATTGACTTGGCTTGCCCGAAGGTCGCAAAAGAGGATCATGTGCCCCTGCAACAATCATAAATATGAATCAATGGCCAAGCATCTGACTTTGGATCGCAGGACGGTGGGAATGTTGCAACGGTCGTAAAGTGTGAAAAACGGTCATAAGTCACTTTTTTCAGCACCGTTGTTAACTTCGAACGGTCACTAAATGAACGGTTGTAAGCCGAGAACTACCTGTACTCCATTTAAGTGGAGATCTGAACCTGCATGGGATATGATGGTTATTCATCATATGCTAAATAATAATAAACTCCATTTAGTGGCGATACCTGAAGTGAGTGGTATGGCGGCCTACAGGCGGAGCTCTCGCCTCACAATCAGGAGGCTGTGAGTTCGATCCTAGGTAGAGGCAGATATTTCTCTCTGGGCACACTGAACAATCTGCTGAACAAAACTCCGCACTGGCGACAGGAATGTCATCCGGCCAGTAAATACTCAGCTCCATTAAGTTGCCCAGACTCCACCCTGCAAGGGGTCGTTAAAAGAGGACGAATGGCGATATAAGTTGCCTGTGTCTCAATGTGTTTGGTTGTCTAAGATTCAAAAGCTCAAAAGCTCCCCGCCGTTGCTCGGTTTTTGGGTAAGGCCGGTTGCTGATTCTCCCTCTTTTATTCCGCAGAGTGGCCGACGAGGAAACGACCTCCGTCTACGAAAACCTGAGTATCAAAACCGCCAAGGTCTCAGGACTCACTAACTCAGGAAGATAGTAGCGATAGAATAGGATGGAGACAGGTGGCTTATAAAATAGGTAGGCATGTGTATCCAGGTGTGGTTATTTTGCCTCCCGATATGACAGACCGGTGGATCACATTCCCAAGCGCTGCACTCTTAAGACCCTCCTCAACAGAAACCGAGCCCTGTTGGAAAAGTCGGTTTCTCCCAGCCGACACTCATCAAGATCCCAATTCAGGATTATTTTTCTTTTAGACTTTTAAAATATCTCTGTGCCCCGGTGGGGGTGGGAAGGACGAAAAACAGAAAAACGGCATAATTTTCCGTCTTGGTTTTGTATGGATGGGATCAAACTCGTACAGCTTCCAAGGTATTGGTGCGATCTGAAAGGACACCGGTTTTATTTCCGTCTCGAGGTTTATCGTTAACCTCCTCCAGATATTGTTCGGATTTAGGCTTCCTTAGAAAGTATACAGCACAATCTTAGTCCCGGCAAACCTCTTTTATTCATACGGCTTTCAATTATTGTCATTCCCAGTCTGAAAGGCTTCTCAAACAGTCTTATCAGCGGAGTGTTTACAAACACCCACCTTATCTCCCTTGGAATGCTGCCAGATAACTAATTGCTACACGCGGGGCAAGGCCAAACTTAGCACAGAGTCAAACAGAACTTTTCCAAAGCTTTTACCGACCAGATGAACTAATCGCTTCCTGCAAAAAGCTCACGTCCCATTCGCTTCTCTTTTATGTCTTATGGGAGAGGCCAATCATCTCCAAGCCTTTCTCCCAAGTCGACCCTGTTTTCTTAATTGTTCCTGTCTCCTGGAAGATCTGCGCCTGCGCACACTGGGAACAGGCTCCCGCTGTTCTTCTGCCTCACTGATGTCAGACTCCGGAGACTCCGGAGGCAGCAAAGAACTATCAGATGGCCCTGTCCCCCTCTCTGCCTCTGACTCAGAGCCCTCATCTGAGCCTTCCCCAGACTCCAGGACTGGCCCGCGTTCCTCCCCAATCTCCTTACTGTCCGAATCTGCTGCCGGCTCTACTGGCCAATGGCGGGCCACAACAGATATGATGCAGTTTCCGTGTTTTCATTCCCACTGGATTTTCCATGCTGAATGCAACCTTAAGCCTCCGTCTCGTAAGACCGATCGTGGGTCTAATTCAGTGGATTTCAACCTGGGCTACTTTAAGAGAAGGGTGGATTTTCCACTCCCAGAATTCTCCCACCGACCTGCTGATTGGGGAATCCTAGAAGTTTCTGACCGGGGAATTCTGGGAATCGAAGTCCACCCAACTTAAAAAGTTGTCTAGCTGGACAAACACTGGTTTAATTTATGCAAAGGGTAAGATATAATTCCTTTTCTTGCTACGCTGTATTTATCCACAAGTGCCTCTGATTTTCTGTAAGAGAGGCTACAAATTGGGGGTGTACGTGTGTGTGTGTGTGTGTGTGTGTGTGTGTGTGTGTATACATATATATATATATGAGAAAAATATATATATAGTGAATTAACAAGCGTCCTTGTTTAGAGCAGAGGGGTTACACTGTTGAGCATGGTGGCCCAAGAACTCTGGGAGTTGAAGTCCGCACATGCCGGCTGGGGAATTCTGGGAGTTGAAGTCCGCACATGCTGGCTGGGGAATTCTGGGAGCTGAAATCCATACATGCTGGCTGGGGAATTCTGGGAGTTGAAGTCAGTAGTGGCATTCAGCCGGTTCAGACCGGTTCAAGCGAACCGGTTGTTAAATTGCTGTCTGGCCCCTCCCTCCCCCTGCCCCCACCCCCCTTCCAGGAGTCCCCACGCGCCCCATTTTGGCTCCCAGGTAAGTGCAAGGAGGCCTACTAGGCCCAAAACAAAACAGGCCCGTTTTTGCTCCCAGGGGGGTGCAGGAGGCCGAGTGCTGCATTTCACACCCCCTGGTTACGCCCACCATGGCCACGCCCACCCAGCTGGTCATTAGGGCAGAGAAATGGTAGTTAAATTATTTGAATCCCACTGCTGGTTGAAGTCCGCACATGCCGGCTGGGGAATTCTGGGAGTCGAATCGCCTCGTTCTGAAGTTGTTACGGCGGAGAAATTTAGTCCCAGAAGGAGAGTTCGATCCTAAAGAAGAAACTCTGACCCCCCCCCACTACTTTTGTGTATTGCCCAGGTAGATGAACCTAGGGCCTAATAAAACGTAGAGACCGAAATACAATTCCCAGCATCCATCAGCCTGAGCTGAGCCTGGCAGGACCCCGTAGTTCAGGATTCTCTGCCTCGATGAACAATAATATCATAAGATTGCAGATCCTCTTGTGCCTGAACACGACCTCGTCTTTTACAAAAGACAGGCATAGTTGAAACCACCGATTAATACGATACAGGTAGTTCTCGACTTACAACAGTTCATTTAGTGACTGTTCAAAGTTACAACACTGAGGAAAAAAAAGTGACTTATGGCAGTTTTTCCACACTTACGACCGATGCAGCATGCCATCTTTCGACCAGCAATGTCATAGGGAAGCTGGATTCACTTAACCGCGCAACTGACTGAACAAACTTGCAAGAGATTCATTTAACCGCCGTGTCAAGAAAGGTCGTAAAATGGAGCAAAAATTCACAGCCGTCTCGCTTAGCGACCGACACGTTGCGCTCCATTGGGGTTGTAAGTCGAGGACTTAACCTGTAGGGACTTCTCTCGCTCCTCCACCAGTATCCCCCACTGCTGTTTATATATAATCTCCATTGCCCCAATATCGTTCCTCCGTCTCTTTCAGTGACATCTGGTTTCCCCCTTCTGATCTGCTCCAAGAACTTGGCGGGGGAAAAATATCACCACAATAACAACAACAACAACTGCACCACGCACAATTCAGCGGTATAAAACTGAAATGTTTAATAACAATAGAAAATGAAGTGTCCCCTCCTTTCGCCCAAACGAAACCGGAAGTAGAGGGAAAGTGTCGGGGGTGGGGGAGGTATCAGCAAAAGGGGAAGAGTATGCAGAGTTCGGTCCGTTGGCTCGGATTTGCGTGTTCTCCCCGTTGAGTGCGTTCTCCCATACGTGCAAAACAAGTTGTCTTTTGCTTGGACTTTGGCACTTGGGCCTCCCAAAACAGGTTGGCCATAGAGCCACTTAGGAGGTGTGGAAGTGGGCACGTGGGTGTTTCAAGTCGACATGACCAAGACGGTGCACGCTCGAGCGTTCATGTGAGTTGCGTTGCACCAGGTCAACGTGACGGCCCATCCAATCCAACGCAATTCTCTAGAACCGGTAGGAGAAGTCCACCCCGTCTCCCCGGTTCCTTCCAGAGGAGAACTAGGACTCTCGTGGACTTTCTCCCCCCCCCACAATGACCGGCGGTCACCCCACATCAAAGCAGCACCCGTACGGCCTCCCCCCGGCAATCACGCCACGAGCTTGGTGAGGTCCAGTGCGGGGGCCGGGGTGGTGAGATGGTAAGGCACGTAATTTGGCCGCGGGTATGTGAATTTGTTGAGGCACTTCAAGTTCCCCGTCTTGACGATACACTGCACCGGCCACAGGATGATGCAAAAGAGGATGATGATGAGGACGGAAAGCAGGACGACGCGTTTCCAGTCGTCGCATATCGAGCAGCGGGAGAGGCGTCCGATGACACCCTCGGTGGGGGTCTCGGGCACTTCGGGCTTGCTGGGGGCGATGTCGATGGTGACGCAGGTGTGGGGGTTCTCGGGGTCGGAGCACTGCCTGCAGCACAGCTTGGTCCCTTCCATCCAGTGGGCCCTCTCCTTCTGGAATTCCGGCGGTAAGGTGGCCATCACCTCTTTGCTCGTCTGGAGACCCGGAGCGCCTTCGAGCGGGATTTCGGTCAGCTGCCTGCAGAAGGGGCACGGGAGCTGATCTTCCACCCGGTTGGGCGGCAGGGCGGCCGTCAGCCGGGCCAAACACTCCAAGCAGAAAGTGTGATGGCACTGGAGGACCTTGGGGGTTTTGAAGAGGTTGTCATAGGTGTTGAAGCAGATGGAGCATTCGATCGGCGAGGTAGGCCGCTCCGTCGGGGAGCCCAACCTGGTCTTCCCGTCGATGGGGGAGCTCAACGGAGACCCCACGGGCGAACACACGGCGGGCCTGTTTTCCGCAGAGGGAGAGGTGATCACGATCGGATTGAGCGGGATCGGTCTGTCATGGGGGTCCGCTGGGATGGGACTTTGGGGACTCGACGGGGGAGATTCTGGCACTTCGGTGTGCCAGACCTGGGTTAAGCAGGACATAACGGAACCTGGGGAAATAAGAAACCGGGATTAATATTAAGCCAACATGGAGTCATCCTTCATCAATATTTCTCAATCAAAGCAACTTCAAGTCGGGTGGACTTCAACTCCCAGAATTCCCCCAGCCAACCCGAGAATTCTGGGAGTTGAACTCCACACCATCTGGCTGGGGAATTCTGGAAGTTGAAGTCCACCCATCTTTAAATGTTTCCAAGGATGAGAAACACTGCCGTAGAGGTTTATTTCCTAAATCTTTCTAAGACCCTACCCCATTTTTCTTCTCCAAAACTTCCGTAACTTTCCGTAGGAATAAAAAAAGCCACAGGCTGTTTAGCTGCCCAAAATAGCAACTGTTGGAAACGGGGAACACCCAACACTTGAGAATTCCCCCCCCCTCCTCAAACACACCAGGAAAAGAGCTGCAGGAAAAGAAAAACTAAATAAAACAAAATAAAATCACACGTACCCCAGCCGGTGCTTCTCCTAAATTGAGAAGGCAGGAGTGTTGCTGTCTCCATGAAATCCAGAAGGGATCTCGGGGGGTCCCAGGTAGAGACCCTGTTTGCTGGGTGGAGTGGGGGCAGCGTTGGCCGGCCGCACAGAAAGCCTAAGACAAACCAGAATACGAGTCCGTTCAGGATGATACGGAGATAGCAGTTGCCAGCGTGGCTAAACTCCCACGTAAATCTGCCCTTTGTTGTGTTTTTAGGGGTGGAAGGAAAAAACGAGCAGCAAAGCTTTGCTACACCCCCCCCACACACACACACATACACACATATCTCTTCCCAGTTTTGAGTCTTAAGGGAAGCCTCTTGTTTCGTTTCTTCTTAGACGTTCAGAAAAAAACACCATTTTTTTCCCCCTCTCTTCTGGGATGCTGGGCCTTGTCAGATTGTCAAACAGGACGGAGACTTGAGATCTCCCCAAAACGAGGACCAGTTTTCTGATTCTCCCGCAAAGAGATTTACATCTCTCCCTCCAGGCCTGGGAAGAGCATCCTTCTGCTGTTTTACAACAAATATATAAATAAATGTTATTTTCACCATCGGCTTGCAAGCAAACACATGGGAAAAAACAGCTCTGATGTTTGCGGATCTTTTTTTCCCCAGCAAACAGCCCAGTTCTCCTATTTTAACTTGGCTTTGCTAGTTTATTTTTTTTTTCACGTTGCAAGCATGATCTAGCAAAAAAACCACCGACGGGAACTTCCTGGTTCTCATAATCTTGGCATAATCTGACCTCAGGTCTCCTTTTATCTCACTCTAATAGGAAATACTGTCTGTATCAAATCCCAAGCCAATTGCACTAACCGTTTGAGTTTTTAAATTTACGACGTGTTTAATTTCTCAGAGCTTGGCACCCGTCTAAGGGACGTGCATGCAGCACGTCTGGTATGAAAAAAAATCCTTTTTATTTTGCGTTTCCTCCCAGTGATTCCTCCAACCCCCCCCCACCAGGAAATTCAGGGCCACGGGCTGAGCTGGGAAGTCAACCACGACAAACCTGGCTGAAGAAAGTTTGAAATCTCTGTCGGTTATTTTTGACATAGTTAGCAGGAATGGAAAAACAACTCTTTTATTTTTATTTTCTTAAAACTGGAAATGGCTCCTTTATAGACAGAGCGACGTCTAAGAAACCGAGAAGGGCAGGTGCAGATTTGCCAGAGAAGGGAGAAGGGCCAAATCTCTCCGTTCCGAAAAGCATGGAAACGCAGGGAAATTTGCAAGCTAGCGTGGACTTTAAGCCCACATAGGTGGGTAACTCACTGTTAATTGGCGCGTCTGGTAAAACTGGTTTCTGAGCCTAGCTGCCCTGGAGAATTTAAAATCACCCTAAAGAAACTGAGTCACACCCAATTATTTCCCCAAAGAAGTCGGGGTGATGTTTCTTCAGAGGATGGAGTAAGTCCCGTGCTAGATTTTAGCATTCCTATGGACTTCAAACTGATCTGTGGAAGGAGAGGTATTTATAAGGGGCAAAGGCATTCTGGGTTTTCCTAAAGTTTCCTAAAAGTTTTAGGGCTGCAAAAATAATAATAATAGTAATAGTAATAGTAATAATAATAATAATAATAATAATAATAATAATAATAGTAGCAATAGTAGCTATAGAATAATATATAAAAAAATAATAATAATAATAAATAATAATAATAATACCTCAAATATATATAATAATAATAATAATAATCCTTTAATCCCCAAAGGATCGCTCCTCAATCCCATCGCAAAATCTCCCCCAAGGGGATTTTGAATTCAACTGGTCTTGATTTGGGCCGAAATTTGCACCCGAGGCAGGGCGCTCCTCTTCCGGATACTCCATTGCAATTCCACACACCCCCTCATTTCATTTTTTTCCAAGAAGAGGTCTCCTTCAGGGGTATCGTCCTCCCACCCCACCAACTATGAGGTCCTGCCGTTGTGCATTTTTTAAATCCATCCATCTTCACGTATTAAATCCATGCCCCCAAAGCAAATGGGATTAGAATCAGAATAACAGAGTGGGAAGGGACCTCGGAGGTCTTCTAGTCCAACCCCCTGCTTAGGCAGGAAACCCTACACCACTTCAGGCAAATGGTGGTTCAACCTCTTCTTTAAAAACCTCCAGTGTTGGAGCATTCACAACTTCTGGTGGCAAGTTGTTCCACTGGTTAATTGTTCTCACTGTCAGGAAATTCCTCCTTAGTTCTAAGTTGCTTCTCTCCTTGATCAGTTTCCACCCGTTGCTTCTTGTTTTGCTGCTTTGGAAAACACGTTTACCCCCCCTTCTTTGGGGCAGCCCCTCAAATATTGGGAAACTGCTATCATGTCTCCCCTACTCCTTCTTTTCGTTAAACTAGACATCCCCAGTTCCAGCAACCGTTCATCGTAGGTTTTAGCCTCCAGTCCCCTAATTGTCTTTGTTGCTCTTCTCTGCACTCTTTCCAGAGTCCCAACATCTCTTCTACATCGTGGTGACCAAAAATTAATTTTTTTTTTTTCAATAAAAGCAGAACCTTTTTATCTGTTCATAAAGCTCCAGAGATACAGGTCCTAACTGGCAGGTGCCGGAGTGCCTCTCTGTACGAGTACCCGTGACTTCCCTCTCCACATCCTCTTTGAAGTCACTCAATTGCCATGCTTGGGATGCTTAGTAAGTTACCACGAGCCCGGATGTTTGTCAGAAGCGTGTCCAGAGGTGGAGCCTTCAAACTATTTTAACACCCAGGGATTTCTCTCTTGGGACGGGTGCCGCCTTTTGCCTTCCGGCAAACGTGTTTGAAACACGCGGCGAAGGTAGATTTTTATCCCCTCCGAGCTATCCCGCGATTGTCATTCCACAGCCATGCTCCCCAAAAAAATGCTGCTGGCATAACTTGAGTGATTGAAGTTTATCACCGTCGTTAAATCAGCATCACATGCCTCTTCACGTTTCATTAGAACTGCGGGCGGTCCTTGAGTTACGACGGCCGGAGAGCTTCCGTTGTTTTATAAGCGATGCGGCCCTTCAATTTTGCAGGCGTGTTTGCCGTGCTCGCAAAATGAATTTTGGCTTTCCTAACTGATTTTGGGCTTGTCAATGGGGAGGTCAGAAATGGCAATCACGTGATTTCCCCCAGGGACGCTGCAACCATCATACATACATGCGGATTGCCAAGCAACTGGATTTTGGTCGTAACCACAGGAATGGTCATAAATGCAAGGATTGGTCTTAAATTCCTTTTTTTCCCCCCAGCCGTGACGTAACTTTGGTCATTAAACAAATGGGTGTCAGTCGAGGATTACCCGTGCAGATTCTGGGCTGCAAAACTCCAACTAACCACTAGGTGGCCAAAAACCATTTGAGATCCATATCTCTCTGCTGCCTCCTAATGGTCACCTGGAGTTTTGCAGACCCCCCCCTTTTTTTTTTAAATTAAACTGTTTGCTGTTATGCAAACCCCTGATGTCTTAAAACCAAGTTATCGATCAGGGAGTGAATTCCTCCTGAAAAAAGTCACAGGCCTTAAGGCACAAAAATCCTCTCGTCGGGATCTAACCCAATGCGGTGACTCCCAAGAATAAAACTTGAGAGAACTGATTTTAGGCTACTATATTATTACACACATTTATTAATCACAGCTTTTAAGATTTATGATGGAAAGGCACCTATTTGAAGCATGAATAATATGTAAAACAGAACATCCTGGGAACAAATATATATACATACATACATACATACATACATATATATATATACATATATATATATATGCATTACTGTATAGATCTACGAAAAAAGATAGATCTAGATCTAGATATAGATCTATATATATATAGATATATATATATAGATATATATATATATATATATATATATATATATATAGATATATATTCTCATTCTCAATCTCTCTATACATATTTCTCATTCTCAATCTCTGGTAAATTCCCCATCTTTGCCAAATTTCTTTTGCCACCTGCTCAAAGCCACTTTGAAAGCAAAACTCACCTGTCTTGAGTTGGGATATTCTAGAAGCAGCAATGCATGTTTAAAAGCTTCTGGCTCTTTATTTTATTTTTTTCCTTTTTCTTTCCTTCAAAGCAAGGAAAAAAACAGCTCCATCTAAGACGTGGGAAACATGCCGGAGGATAAATCCCTCAGCGGCTGACAATTTCCTCCCCAAAACAGCAACTGCTCACATCACCTGGGCTGAAAAATCTTTTATAGCCTCTGCTCTTTCCAGGTGACTGGATGGCTCTTACCTGTCTGGGCCAGGTGTGGCTGCTGGGCTTCGGATTGGCTGGCTTCCCAGGGGGCGTGGCTTCTGGTGTTGACAAACAGGACCGGCTGGAGCAGCTTCTGGACAGCAGGAAACATCCCAAGTAAATCTGAACTTCCAAAGATCGGAGAAATAAAGGCTCAGCCAGCCGGTCTGGTCCTGTTTGAAGCGGTTTTAGATAAGATCCACATTTGGTGATGCTTTTTTTTCGGCTGGGAAACTTCCCAGGGATCATTCTTGGAATCCAATCCAATCCAGCCCTTTGCTGTGATTTCTGCTCAGCCCCGGAATTATTATTATTTTTTTTTTCCTTTCTAAAATTGTTCTTTTACACGCGGAAGGGAAGGAAGGGACTTATCCCTTGTTAGGACTTATCCTGCTCTGCAAAAAGTCAATTATTAACGTTTTATTGGGTTACTTAAATAAACTTTAAAAATAAGAACCTGGAACGCGCCAAACGTTGCTTAAAAAAAAAAAATACCTCGAAGTCAGAGGAAATTAAGACCTACCCTAGCAAGCGGAGCGAATCCTATTAATTATATTTAATTAATTTAATGTCCGTCACCATAAAACGCATCTCCGGGTTGTCTTTAGCGCCACCATCCAAACCTGGTCTGATTTTGGAGGAGCGAAACGCAGCTGCCATTTTTTGGATGTTGATGTTAGGACACACACACACACAAAAAAAAAATAGCAGCTTTTTAACTCCCGCGTGGTTTCCCGAGGACTCCATGGATGTGGAAGTATAGGTAGTCCTCGGCTTATGGCCACAATCGACCCCCAACATTCCTGAGGTTAAGTTTGGTGAGTTTTGCCCCGTTTTGCTACTTTTCTTGCCACCGTTGTTAAGTGAATCACTGCCGTGGTTAAGGTAGACACCTTTGTCGAAGGCCGCAAAAAGAGAGGACCACATGACCACGGGGATGCTGCAACGGTCACAAGTGTGAAAAACAGTCACACAAGTCATTTTTTTCTGTGCCATCGTAACTTCGAACGGTCACTAAAAATGAGCTGTTGCAAGTCGAGGACCAGCTGTAGTTCGCCATGGTCTGGTTTCTGGATTTGATTTTATTGCGGCTTCCTGATCTAGCCTGCGGTTAGTGGGATTTCTTAGTGGTCTCCTTTCCGTCTCCCAACTCTGCTCAGCGTTTCCAAGGCTGGTTTGGTGTTTGCCGTGTAGCTGGGCCTTTTACCAGATTACATACCATATTGAACTCTAAATGACCAATATTAACACAAGGGCTCTTGTCTGAGATAATTTGATTATTGATCAGTTGATTTGTCCTGTTTTCTCTGATCCTCCCCTGATCCATTGATTCAGGGGGCCTATTGCAGTGGTGGGATTCAGCCAGTTCGGGAGAATCGGTAGTTAAATTGTTGGCTTCGGGCTCAGGATGATGGGTGTTACAATCTCAGACCACGCTTTGTAGATTTATTTTTTACTACCATGTTTCCCCCGAAAATAAGACCTCCCTCGGATAATAAGCACCATCGGGCTTTTGAGCACATGCACTAAAATAAGCTTCCCCTCCCAAAAAAAAATAAGCCCTCCCCGAAAATAAGCCCTCTGGAAATATTTAAATGCATGCACAGCCGGTCCCCGCTATTTCCTCTGGTTAGGGTTAGGGAGACAAAGCTGGTAAGACGGCGAGAGGAGCCCCGTCTTGCTCCACGCACCCCAAAATAATAAGACCTCCCCAAAAATAAGTCCCAGCGCTTATTTCGGGATTCAAAAAAATATAAGACAGGGTCTTATTTTCAGGGAAATACAGTACCAGAGGGTTTCAGGAAAAAGCCTCCCGTTCCCAGAATCCCCCAGTTTGGCCCTTGGAGAGAATTCTGGGAGATCCATACACCTTCGCCTCCCAGCCTTCTCTACCGCTGAGAATTCTGGGAGTTGAAGTCCTCCCCCCCCCTCTGGAAGGAGCCCCGTTTAAAGGAACAGGAAAAGCCCACAATCGGTTCCCACCAACCGATTTTAGATGGCTGAGCGTTGATTCAGCATTTCTGCCGGCAAAGTCATTAAAACTGAGTGAAGCTCCTTTTAATTGGCCTGCACTTCGTCTTGGCTTGTGCTCCTGCTGCGATTATGATTATGTAAGAATTATCGGGCCGCTCGGCAGGCACAAGGCCGATGAAGTCATGCCACCCTCGCCGTTTAAGGGATGAGTCACCGGCCCCATTTCCCAATTTCAGGAATAGCGAACATTCTCCCGGGGTTGACATCAGCTCTTTTTTTTTCCCAGGCAATTAAAAGTCAGCAGACCATGATCTGCTCCCGGAGGAATGGAGTCGTGGCAACCACCAAGCAAAGCCTTTGCGGCGAAGGCACCTGTTGAATTTCTGCCTGGCCAGCATTTAAAAGAGCCACTGGAGCTACATAGGCCTGAGCCCAAGCCATCCTAGCTTTAAAGAGCCTTGGTAGTACAGGGGTTTAAGGCACCCTGTTATTAAGCTTATTAAGACCAGCTGCCTGCAATTACTGCAGGTTCGAATCTCGCCAAGGCTCAAGGTTGACTCAGCCTTCCATCCTTTCTAAGGTAGTTAAATTGAGGACCCAGTTGTGGGGGCAATAAGCTGACTTTGTATAAATATACAAAAGGATGAAGGCTATTGCTGAGCACATTGTAAGCCACCCTGAGTCTTCGGAGAAGGGCGGCATATAAATCAAATTAAAAAAAAAATGTTGGAGGACTTGGCGCTTTTTCAAAAGGCAACTGGGCTTCCTTCGTGGTTGTTGTTTTTTTTCCTTGAAAAGGTTTCACTTCTCATCCAAGAAGCTTCTTCAGTTCTAGAAGCTTTTTTTTTTTTTTTTTTTTGGATGAGAAGCGAAAATGTTTTCAAGGGGGGAAAAACCCGAGAAAATCCAGTTGTCTTTTTAAAAAGCACTTTTGGGACAACCATTGACCTGCAGAATTGAGAATCCCCACAGATTTTGCTGTGTGTATTTCCAACCGAGTTTGGTTTTTTTTCCAGAGATTTTGTAAGGGCCTTCTCTGTGGTGGCTCCCTCCCTTTAGAACAGGCTATCAAACTCTGCCGGCCAAAATGGGACGTTTGCGGGCCCTCCCCCCTGTGCCCCGTTTTCTACCTCCACGGCCTCCAGCAGCACTTTACCAGCCAAAACGGGGCACGGGGTGGCCATGCGCAGCCCCCCCACACACACACACATTTTGGCCTCCAGCAACACTCTGCCAGCAAAAAACAGGCTGTGCGGAAGCCTCCCGAGGTCAACATGAGGCCCATTTTTGGCCGGCAGAGTGCTGCTGGAGACGAGGAGGCCGAAAACGGGCCGTGCGGGGGCCTTGGGAGTCTTCTGTGAGCCCCATTTTTGGCCGGCAGAATGCTGCTGGAGACGAGGAGGCTGAAAACGGGCCGTGCGGGGGCCTTGGGAGTCTTCTGTGAGCCCCATTTTTGGCCGGCAGAATGCTGCTGGAGACGAGGAGGCTGAAAACGGGCCGTGCGGGGGCCTTGGGAGTCTTCTGTGAGCCCCATTTTTGGCCGGCAGAATGCTGCTGGAGACGAGGAGGCCGAAAACGGGCCGTGCGGGGGCCTTGGGAGTCTTCTGTGAGCCCCATTTTTGGCCGGCAGAATGCTGCTGGAGACAAGGAGGCTGAAAACGGGCCATGCGGGGGCCTTGGGAGTCTTCTGTGAACCCCATTTTTTGCCGGCAAAGTGCTGCTGGAGACGAGGAGGCCGAAAACGGGCCGTGCGGGGGCCTTGGGAGTCTTCTGTGAGCCCCATTTTTGGCCAGCAGAGTGCTGCTGGAGGCCATGGAGGGCGAAAACAAGGCACCCTGTTTTGGCCAGTAAAGCGTTGCAGGAGGCCGCTCAGTCCAAAAACAGGGCAGAGGAAGCTGCGGGCAGCCCCCCTGCGCCCCGTTTTGGCCAGCAGGGTGCTGCAGGAGGCGTCCTTCCCGCTCCCTGCCTCCCCCCCCCCAGCCCACGGAGGAAAACTACAATGCTGATCCGGCCTTCGAAGAAATCCAGTTTGACACCTCTGCTTTAGAACGTCATTTCCGCGGAGATTAGACTGGTTCCCAGTTCGATACTCTTTCATGAAGACCTGTTTCTGCCAAAGGGCCGGAGAAACTCAGACTAAAACGGAGCCCATAAAGTGGCTTGTTTGAGTGCGTCACCAAAAAGGTGGGAAGATATTGTGTTTCATTTTTTTTTTTTAATTGGGTTTTTATCAGTTTGTAAACCGCCCAGACAGAGTCACTGAAAGTGAGTGGATGGCCATATAAAAACCTTGTAAGTAAATAAAGCCTAACTTTTCCTCCAATCAGCGTCGGGACAGAGCTTGCATATAAATACCGTTGGACGGACACCCAAGGGCTGTGCCGCCATCGGCCTCACGAAAGATTCAATCCTTCTCCCAGATCTTTTCAAACATTGTGGGTGCTCCATCACCGGAGGCTTCGAAAAAGAAGTTGGATCTCTCCAGAATGGCGGTTGAGTCTCCTGCTTGGGGTTGGACTAGAAGACCTCTAAGGTCCATACCAGCTCTGTTCTTCTGCCAATTTGAATAAGACCAGAGGAGCCAAAAAAAATAAAATAAAATAAAAACCAGACAGCACTGAGGATTCACTCGGATTCACCTTCTTTGATTTATCTCGTTTCACATTCCTGCACTCAAAATGTCCTTTTTATCTTTGGAATTCAGCCCCCAAGGGCTGGCCCTGAGGCTAAGCACAGTCAAGGCTGAGGGGCCTTCAAAACCCCCAGAGGCCCTTCAAAAACGGCGATGCTTCATCCTGACAAGCATTTGGGGTGAAGGAAAGCAATAAATCGGAGGTGGACGGAAAAAACACAAAGAATGTGCTTTTTATCTGTCTCCCGAACCACGTGCTTTGGTAATCAGACATAAGGGGTGGGAGGGAAAAAAAAAACTTTTGACATGCCCAGAGGCAT